ATGTCCTGCATCAGTTGAGAGTGAGGCTAGCAGCATTGCAGTAGAAATCAGAACAAGTGATAGTAGTCCAGGACTTCAGGAGAATAGGTCTTTGCCTGAACAAAGCATGATGGAAACAGTATCGTTTCTTAAGCCTTTAATTTCAACCCATTATGCAGATATATTAAAGGAAAATACAAAAATCTCAGCTCCTGAAAGAAGTCTGAATGAACTGGAAGCCAATGTGAAATATGCTTCCAAAGCAGATCCTAAAGGTGCTCTGACTTGCAGCTTGGAGACTTGTAAAGGTACAAATGAGATTTGCATTGACCTCCGGCAGGTAGATAAATATGCTGCTACTCCTTCATACGAAATACCACTTGTTTCTGTGAATGATCAAGAATCTGAGCAAGGCAGTGCAAAGCGTGTATTAGATTTGATGGAAGATATTTTAAAAGATCCTGAACATACACACAAAATGGATGCAAGGGACTCCCAAGCTGATATGAGTGACTTAAGAACAGCGCACCCAATTTCCCAGTCTGTTTTATTCAGTAGATTGTTCTCAACCACCAGCCCTACTGAAGATCAGGAATATCTGATGGGATATTTATGGATCAATTCATCTTTTAACAAAACTGAAGAGACACACATTGTGCGTGAGCCACTGCAAAATCAAGCTGGAGACTTATCTGTCCCTTTTTTTGATATTGGAGGTTGCCCTTACCAGTTGCTAGTACAGCAGAACAGTAATATTTGGGGATGGCAAGATAAAGATGGAGAATGTGTAAGTATTATACAACCATACTCTGATTTCTGAAGTGCCTATTAAAAAGTTAAAAGAAAAGGTTTAGCTTTTCTTTGGGAATGGTTTTTGATGATTATCTAAAAATTCCCAAGGTGTCTTGTACAAGGAAAAAAGGCATTTCTGCTTGCAGAAGGCTGAATTCTTCAAAGTCCTCTGTGCTGTTGCTGTTCATTGCTTATGAATTCTCACAACCTTCCAGAACGGCTTTCTGGAGCGTACAGGACCTATAATGGAGTGAGAAAGGAACTAGGAAGATTACCTTGCATAAGTGGATTTCTCCTGACCCTTCTCTGGATCCAGTTTATTAATTTTTCCATTCATCTGAGTTATGTGTGTAAGCCGCCTTGAGCACTACTTTGAAATGGAATGGCAGGGTGAAAATAAAGCTATTGTCAGCTTCTACAACTAGCCTATAGATAATAGAGCATCTTGAAAACCCATTTGATGGGCATGCAATAATGTTCTCTTGTTAGGATTCCTGACATGCTAATTGCAACAATGCTGATATTGTACATTTGCTTTACATTTAGAGGGGGAGAGAATTGAGTGATAGGATATCTTCTGTATCTCTTCTCTAAAGTTCAAACTGAGGCCATGGTCACACCAGCAAAATGGTTATGCTACTTTTAATCACCCTGTTGTGCTTTGAGGTCATGTGATATTCCAAGATGTGCGTCCCAATGTGTTTTTGGGTTTCCGAGTCATTTCCTTCCAATTCTTGTTGAGACTTTATGACAGAAGTTGACCAATTCACACGTTGAAAATATATTTAAAAAATTAAAAACCTTTTAAAAGAACAGTAATTCAAAAAAGTTGCAATAAGATTTTTCATATACACAACAATGCAACATTTTTTAAAAAAAAAGATCAGCAACAAAAAACGTAAAGGCATCTGGTCAAGCAAGAAATGGTCCACAGTTAGCATGCTTGCCAGGTAAGTTGCAATACTACATTCTTTATGTTTTGAATGGGGAGATGTTACCTCAAAGCTACTTTCTGAACAAGCCACAAAATGTCTGGCCTGTCATATTTGGTCCACAGTTAGCATGCTTGCCAGGTAAATGATTAGCTAATTGCCGTGTGTAATGTGACTGCAAGTTGAAATTGTGAAATCAAAGGGGGGAGGACTGGAAAACATTTTGTTGGTGTGATCACAGCCTAAGAAACACACCGTCTTCTCATACTTAGGTTCCTGTTCGTGAGACTTCAGGAACGAAGGTTTGGATTGGCATTTTGCTACCACTGTGGGACAAATGGCTTTTGACAGTTTGTGAAATCTAAGTGAGGTGCACAATTGCAGAAAGCTGTAGAACTGGAATTCTCTCAAAACACAGTTATGCTCAAAATTTGGCCAGAACACCTGTGCTCTTGTGCCTATGGCCTGCTTCTGCTAGAACTATACACTTTGGTTGTTGTGGGTTTTTCGGGCTCTTTCGCCATGTTCTGAAGGTTGTTCCTCCTGACGTTTTGCCAGTCTCCGTGGCCAACATCTTCAGACTGGTGAAATGTCAGGAAGAACAACCTTCAGAACATGGCCAAAGAGCCCGAAAACCCCACAACAACCATCAGATCCCAGCCGTGAAAGCCTTCGAGAATACATTGAACGCCTCTATGGGGAGGAAACGGTCAGACAGACCCAGAAACTGGAAACACTCCGAAGCAAAAGAACACACCTACTATACACTTTGTTACAGAACAGTGTGGATGCATAAATATGTATACAAATCACTGCATCTGTTAGAAATCTGTATACTCAAACCATAAAATGCAGTGGCTTACATTTTATTTGTAGGATGCATGCCATGAGCATGTTGTATACAATTTCCAGAGATAAGTCATAAAACATTGCAGTGGTAGGTTCGTAGGCAGATATTTGGTGCACTGGTGTTTATCCAATTCAGCTATAAGCTTGTGCTAATGTAAGATTTGCCAAAGCAAGAAAAAGTTATTTCCATCTCCTGCAACAAGACATTTTTCTTTTCTCCCCCACTGCTCTGTAGGGTTTCCCAGCTCCAGAACATTAGATAAGGGAAATGGCTTCTTCCTGGCTCTGCCCTTTGTCAGTGCAGGTACTAAGGTTAGACTTAGTTGACATGACTAAGATTGCATGTATCCAATAAGAATTATTCCTTTTTCCAGCATGTGGGCAAAAGAAAAGAAAAGGAAAAAAAACAGGAGGAGGGAAACAAAATATTGTGGCATATTAAAGGCAAATAGATTTTTTTTCAGAGTGAGCTTTGGTGCATCAAGATATGTTAGTCTTTAAGTGCTTCGTTTTTTTCTTCTTCTTTCATCTTTGCTTTTTCTCATTTAATTTTGCCAACACGCAATAACCCAGCTACTTCTTTACAACTTTTCCCAGCAGTGACTGTGGGCAATTACTGCGGTGCTAATGTTGCTCTAACCACTTTGAATGTGGGCAGTTACAAAATAATTGTCAGCATCTGCTGCTAGCATACTAATTTGGGGGAAGTATTCTGTCAACTGGGGAGGTGCTTTTTTTCTACAGTTCTCAGGGCATGTTCACCATTGAGAGCTAGACATTTTCAGCTGCTTCTCTGAATTCTTCTTGTTGAACTTACTAGTTTTTTGTGTTGCTTTTGGCACCAGCAAGAGAGCCTCACTCTTGCCACTCTCTTCCAATAATGCAACTTCAAGATGTAGCATTGTTTTGGGCTTCTGAACCCCTCTCTGTTTGGGGTTTGTTGCAATTGATTCATATTGCATGAAATTATGATATTGCCATGACATAGGACCTAAGACGGACGTGGTGGCGCTGCGGGCTAAACCATTGCTCTTATTTTAAAATTCCTGACTGACTGTTTCTTTATTAATTTATCCGAAGGCACTGAGCTGAGCCAGCTGTAGTTGTTGCCAGGTTAGCGCCCCATTTTCACAAAAATATGAGATCTGGCTTGTCATTTCCAGCCCTGAAGTTCTAAGATGATGAGGATGTGTTCTTATTTAGACAAACAAGCCAGTACAAATATAATATTATAGAACTGTTTCCAACCACATTACTTTATTAATATTCACATCCTGGTGATGTCTAAATTTTTATGGAAATTACATAGGTACTAGCTTGTAAAACATGCTTTCTAATAGCGGGAGAGCTAAAAAATGCTTCCACTTAAAACTTATTGTGAAGAAGAAACACAGGCTTTAATTGGTCTACAAAAAACTCTGCTGGAAATTTCCAGCCAACATTTGGCTGGTGAATTCCAGCACACAACACCCCAGTTTCTGACATTGCATTGTCTATATTTCTTTCTCTCTCCCTTTCTGTTTGGTATTTTGCTAACTACATTTCATGGCAAGAATGTCACAAGATAAATGCATCATAGATATGTACCCTTTCCCTTTTTGGCATTACCTTCCTGCTAGCTTTGTTTTTTTCACATTGAGAACAACCATTTCACAAAATGTATTATTCACATAAAATTGAGACAAATAGGTGCTCTGTAAAATTTTCGTGTTCATATGTCCCAAATTAATTTCTTTAAAAATCTCAGTGACCTTGAAAATGGATTCAAAGCAGTAAGCAGCAATATGAGCTGCGAAATCTCTGGTCTGATAAATATGTAAGCTGAGGTCCAATTGTTAGTCTCAACTAGAGTAGATCATTGAACTGATGGAATCTTGCATAAGTATTGTGTTACTACTGAGCCATTTTGCCTGTTAGGAATGGAATTTAAACCATATTCTTGGGTGCCAGATTTCCTTCCATACATGAAATTGAACTTTTCTGAAAACTGGCTCCTTATGGTTTGGTGTATCCTTGGGAATGATACAGAGGGGTGGGAGCAGGGGTTTCATGTTGAAGGAGAATTAGTGGACCCCACTGATTATAATAGACAAATAGTGATCTAAGTCAGTAAGTATCACATAAGACACTGAAGATCTGTTTATATGCTATATGTTTATGAACTTTCCTTAGCAATTGCGTTCAAATGAATATTTTGTAATAATCATGATGAAGCACACAAACCATTAGTATTTACATCTTGTGTTACTTGTAGGCATGTTCATGATGAGTGTAAGTATAAAAAATTCATGGGGAAGCATCTGCTTTAAAAAAAACCCAAAGAAGGCAAATTGAGTTGGATGTCCTAATTTCTAATATGAAGGGAGACATACTATTGCATTCTTTGTAAAATATTTGTCTACTTCAAGAATTAATTCATGGAATTTAATCCAAACACTGCTTTTATAGGAGTCAGCTAAGGTTTCCGAACTAAATCCTAATGCAAAAGTATGGGGGAATCATATGTTACATGTGGAAGCAAGTGGTGCTACTGATGGTGGTGTGAGCAATACTTGGGAAGAAATACCAGATCATCCGCCAGATTCCTGCAAAGAAGGTATGAGCGAGCAATTGTTTTTAATATCTTCTTTTTGGATAACACTTAGTTATCTTTAAAGTAGACTCATTCAAATTAATGGGACTTAAGTTAGTTAAATCCCTTTTATTTAATTAGGTATACTCTAAACTTGGTAGCTGGACATGGTAGCACTGCGGGTTAAACCGCAGAAGCCTCTGTGCTGCAAGGTCAGAAGACGAGCAGTCGTAAGATCGAATCCATGCGACGGAGTGAGCTCCCGTCGCTTGTCCCAGCTCCTGGCAACCTAGCAGCTTGAAAGAATGTAAAAGAATGTAAATGCGAGTAGATAAATAGGTGCCGCCACGGTAGGAAGGTAACAGCGTTCTGTGTCTAGTCGCATTGGCCACGTGACCGTGGAAACAGTCTTTGGACAAACGCTAGCTCTATGGTTTGGAGACGGGGATGAGTGCCGTGCCGTGCCGTCAGACACAACTGGACTAAATTTCAAGGGGAACCTTTAACTAAACTTGGCAGGTATAACTGAACCTTCATTCAACTTTTTTTCCTGAATTAATTCCCTCATAGTTCCTTTAAAATCAGATGTTTATAACTTTATCAGTCTGCTCAAGGTTGTCTCTTTAGCTTCCCTCCTGGTTAGCTTGCCCTTACTGTTTTTTCTGCCTGAGGAGACCAGCATCTGTTCCAGGATAGGGTCTTCACATGCATCCTGCAGGTGGATTCAGATTTAAAGGATGAGACAGACATTGGGAAAGAGTCTGGTCACAGAAGGGGTCATGCAGCTTGTTTGCACCTGCCTTCAGCAGCAATTGTGAATGCAAAAGCAGCAAATGCCATAGCTATAATCATTGAAAACATTTTCAGATGTATTAAGATTGTGATGGCCTTGGGACTAATCTCAAAGACTAAGCTGTGTATTAGTCATTTTATGTACTACAAAAGTCTTGGTCATTTGTAGTAAAAGCAATAAACACAGCTACCCTTAGGGTAGTTATACGGAACATAAAGCTTTTCCTGTCTGGTTTGGAGTAAATAAAACATTTCTTCAATTACAACCTGTGTGTTTTTTCTCTGCAGGGCTGGAAGCCAATGGTGATGGTGACAAAAAGCACCAGAATGAATCATTGACTGAACTTCAGGAACCATCACTGACAGCTCCATTGTCAGACCAGACAGATATGAACCCTTTGGGTTTAGATCATTCAGAGTATGAATCTATGCATGAAAATACGCAGACAGGTAAAAAAAAAAAAGACAAAATAAGTTCATTGTATGTCTTTAAAATCGTTTGTTTCTCCAGCTTACAAAGTGACCTCCAGTTCGAGAATACATTGACCTGCAGTTCTTATGGTAATACTCGTGTCCCTGGAACTTGCAGATTAAAAGCTACTAAAGTAATTTACCAGAGCAAAATTGAATAATAGGCATTGCTACAAAAATGACTATATAGTAACATAGTCACTTCTACTAAATGTTTAATGTGTGGTCTGAAATAGGAAGCACTCATTAAATTGGCATTTTTTGCAGCACACCTATGCATGTGGCCAGTCCCAACTCATTTAAAAGGAATTACTAATAGCCTTGGGCATGTGTGTGGTTAGCTATATTCTGCTTTTAATGAGTAGTTTAATAGCAGCCTAAGTGTGGAACAGCAGAGACATAGATTGATGAGATAATGACATCTACAATGATATTTGTAGTTGTAGATTATGTACTTGCCCAATGTTTTATTTATTTGAAGCATTCCTCCCCCTGCATTTCTCAGCCAGAGAAGCTCCGTCTGTTTAATAATAATAATAATAAGCCACTGGCAATGGTGCGGCTAAAAAAATATTGTTAATAATAATAATAATAATAATAATAATATTCTATCAATTTATTTGAATGTTTGGCTTTTGTGGAAAAATTAAGTATTTTTAATAGGTGCGAGTTAGCATATTTTATCATCTTACTGATTTGAGTTCCGTGATGGAATATGTCTACCACTCATAGTTTATTTTAATACCATAACCAGATTATTGCTTTGTACCAAGAAAAGCTGCATTTTGTAATTTTTATATATTATGGAATTTTTTTGTACCAAGAAAAGCTGGATTTTGTAATTTTTATGTGTTACGGAATTTTTTTTTTAGATCTGCGTATTTTACACAATTCTGCTTTTGCTTCTCACAAAGATAAAATAGTAATAACCGTTGAATTGCATAGCTGGAAGCGACCCTATGGTTCATCAAGTCCAGCCACTCGCACAGTGGGAAATTTTAACTCCCAACCTCTGGTTCCACAACCAGAGACCTAAGCCACTGAGCTATCAATCAATATATTTTAGTTATATCTAGGTATTCTTTGTATTTGTTTCAGTGTACTTAAAGCCGAAGTGGTATGGTTGTCTACTATTTATATAAAGGAGATGCAGAATAATAGAATTTTAGAGGCTGTCTTGATTGCTTATATACACACAGACAAATCATTTCTAACTTAATGATGCCGCATAGCTTCTGTCTTGCAAACTAAAGGCCATTACTTCCTTCATTGAGTCAGTTCATTTCATGTTCAGATTTTCATTGTTCCTAATGCCTTCGACTTTTCCTATAATTAATGTTTTTTCCATTGTTACTCTGTATAATTTCTTAAAAATTGTTCCAACTGCAAATAAGTTAGGATTAATATGTTGTTTTATTTGTATTGTGTTATCAATCTGTTTACAGTTGTGTTGCCTGTTAGAATGTCTTTCTCCGTGACTGTTCAGTTCTCTTAAGGGTTTTACAGTGAGATTGTGGTGGTGAAGGAACTATAGTTGAAAATGGCCTGTATAACTGTGGTCCATTTATATTCCTCTTAAATCCATGTACAGAATTGGTTTCATCATCATCATCATCATCATCATCATCATCATTATTATTATTATTATTATTATTATTATTATTATTGGTAGAATTGGTTTGTGTGAACAATACTTTACGATATTTGCTTGCATGTGTTATTGTAAATGAGTTGAAAATCTTAAGAAGCCTTTAGTTTTATGAAGACTAGAGTTTGTTTCTTGGTGTTATATTGTTTGTATTTTCCATTTCTAGGAAGTAAAGAACAGCTGCAGCCAGAAAGTCAAGAAGATTTGCGAGAAGTGCTCAAAAAAACACTGGAGTTCTGTTTATCTCGGTAAGTGTAAGATGAATATACCCAGTAGAGAGAAGTTCCGCTATCTTTTCCTTTAGGGTGATGTGAGAAGTGATAACTGATACACCATGAAATCAGCAATATAGTTATTCATGAAAAAAACCATTTAGATGCCATTTGGATTCCTTGGACCAGAATTCTGAAAGCTCCACCAGTATAATTACACAAGTACTCTAGAGAAGACAGATGATAGAAACTTCAGCAGCCACCAGAACAGTGTTGGTCAGTTCCAGCATTTTCAAGGCCAGCTTGGAGTTTCTAGCATTCTTCCCCTTTGCCAATCAGTGGTCCTTTTGGCTTATGAGAAGAGCTGCAGCTTCCAAAACAGAGAAGCATTCATGCAAAAGGGCTACTGGTTGTTTCCTTATGCAAGCTTTGAAGAAAGCTATACCACTTGTGCAGTGGGGTAAAGCCCTGGCAGGGACCTTGCCATAGGAATGAGAGAGCAGGCTGGGACAAACATAATGGGTTAATAACATAAATATCTGAAGGCCGTATGGGAGCAAATTATGATGTAAAGGCTTTTGCTCTCTTTTTTTTTCTGAACTAAGTATATGGTTTACTTGTCATCTTTATTGTTTCTGCCTAGGCACTAATTATCAAAGTAAGAGAGTTCTACAATCTGCTACTCTTTTATTAGTTGCTTCTGTATGTTCTATGTCTGGGTCGAGATGTTTCCCTCTTGTGCTTAGGAGGAAAGCAACCGCTGAGATTCAAGACAGTTGCGGTCTGTCACCTGTAGCCAAATGAAATATTTTAGCAAATATTATTTGTATTGATCATTAAATGTCTGGTGCTGGTCAGTCTTGAGTGAACTATGTATGTCCAAGATCAATTAATTGTTAATTAATTTATTATGTGTCTTCATTGGCACATAATAATTTAATGGACAAGATGCATAACCAACAGTAAGACACCCCTCACAACCGGTTCTTATAGCATATGACCTGAACTAAACCCAGCCCTTCAGGCTGCATGCAGTAGGCTAAACATAAATCCCTTGTGGGATTTTTTTCCTGTCTATCTGGGACTTTACAGCAGTTGCAACATCTGCTGACTGGACTGCATTCAGTTTGGTGTGTCAGATTACATGGTCCTGCCCGTCCTTCACAGCCGTGGAATGAAGCAACCCAGGATAGTTTCAGGCTGTTACTCTTGCACTGGCAACCAATAAAATATTAAGTATATGCATGAGTGTACCTTACTACCTATGTGTCTTGTTTTGGGATTATATTATGAATGCAAATTCAGTCTTAGCACTTGCATGAATAATAAGATAATTCCTTTTTTCCCCTTCAACAGAGAGAACCTTGCCAGTGATATGTACCTTATATCTCAGATGGACAGTGATCAGTATGTGCCAATAATGACTGTAGCAAACCTTGATCACGTCAAGAAGCTGAGTACTGATTTGGATTTGATTGTTGAAGTCTTGCGATGTAAGTAATTGGCATAGCATGCATTCTTGATTTGCACAGGGATTGTGAAATTTTGTTCTACAAAAGAGCTTTAATTGGGTGGGGGTAGAGCGATGAAGCTCTTACGATTTCTGAGCGGCATCAGAAAGATAAAGTAGTCAACGTCCTATTGGATACTTACATGCATACAAGAGGATTTGTGGAAGTTGTTGTGCCAGGTTGAAAAAATGTTGGTTGCGCACTCAAGATTCCTTTTGCATGTGAATGTTTCAGACTATACTATCTGGAATTCTTATCTGACATATTCATAGTTATGATTATCAGAACTGAAGTTGTAGATAGTGTCCTATTGCTTAATCCATGTGGGTCAACCTGGAGTATGTTGAATATAATGCTTACATCTGCTGACTTGGCCACTAATATGGTGCTAAAGATCAGTATTTGTTATTCTTGTTCTTGTTTTTAGCTACATTTGTAGCCTACTTTTCCTCTACTGAGTTCAGGGCACCCAGCTTGCCTCTCCCCAATTTATCCTTTGTGAGGTAGATCGAGTTGAGGATGACTAGCTCAGAGTCACCTAATGAGCGTCATGGCTAAATAGAGTTTTGAGCCCGATGTTCCAGAGTTGTAGTCAGGCCTCTAACCACTAAGACTGTCTGACGTAGTGAGAAAGCTAGAAGTGTTTTTATTGATGGAACTGAATGTCTCTGGAGTGTTACTCATTTTAATATTTGTTTTACTGCTCCAGGACAGACAAGGCAACAGACCTTTCTGTAGAGCAAGAAAGCTGCCCTTTTGCAGCAAACAAAGCAAAACAAAGCATGCTGCTTATATACTGCCCTACAGTGCTTCAAGCCCTCTCTGGGCGGTTTATAAGTTAATTATGCAGGCTACACATTGCGCGCGCACCCCCAGCGAGCTAGGTACTCATTTTACCGACCTTGGAAGGATAGAAGACTGAGTGAACCTTGAGCCATCTACCTGGGATTGAACCCCAGGACATGAGCACAGTTTTGGCTGCAGGACAGCAGTTTAACTATTGTGCCACAAGGCTCCCTGTGATTTGTAAATTGAGGGCATTCTGTTAACTACATTAATGGCAGACATAAAACAAAAAGTGGTTTTTTGTTGTCTGAGCAATAATGTTGTGTGTTCTCCCAGCCTTGCCTTTAGTCCAAGTGGATGAGAAGGGTGAGAAAGTCAGGCCAAACCAGAATCGCTGCATTGTGATTTTACGTGAAGTACCTGAATCTACTCCGATTGAAGTAAGTATCTCATTTGGTTCTGTCACCTGTGGAGTCCTAGAAGCCACTCCAGCTTCCCCTTCCACTTGGCTAATTAGGCTTCAGCTGGCCATCAGGGAGTTGATTGCTGTTTTTACACAACTTTGACAGCGGGAAAAAGTGATTTTGCTGGGATTGAGTTCTCTGCATAACCAGGGTTTCATTAATAATTTTTGTCTGTTTGTGCATAACCTTAGAAAGATTGTCTAGTGTATAGATGGGGGAGTGAAATCTCTGATGGCTTAATCATTGTTTGTGAGCTTTCCAATTAGTGCCCTAAGTAAAAACATGAGTTGTGTGTTTGATTAAACAGATATGTTTTGTTTCTTATACTCCTTGAGAAATCTGTCAGTAAAGTGATGAGCTTTCCATGGGATGTTCACTGGGTCCGGTGGCTTTTGTAGGGGAGGGGGATTGCCAAGAACTGGATACAAGTGCTTAAACAGCTAGCATTTGGTTTTAATCTTTCCCACACACTCAATGCTGTACCTCTTGCGAAACAAGCCATGAAGTTCTGAGATGCGATACACAACTACCACACAAGATAAGAGGAGAGAGAGGCCCGATATAGATCCATTTTATGAATAATGTTCTGCTTATGCAACTTTGCATAAGCAAAACATCATTCGTGGTATCTGGGATTGCCTCACTGTACTACTTACTAGTTCTTTGGTGTCATCTGTATGGCTCCCGCATTCACTGGCAGCGTTAATTAGGTTGTTAGTTTGTTTGCTACTTCAACTGTACTTTTTAATGAGTCCTTCTTTTCCTTGTTTCTTTTAAATAGGAAGTTGAAGCACTCTTCAAGGGAGATAACTTGCCTAAATTTATCAACTGTGAGTTTGCCTATAACGACAACTGGTTTATTACATTTGAGTCTGAAGCAGATGCACAACAGGTAATTCAGTTCCTCATGGAACACACACATACATTCATAAACATAGGCAGGCAGGCATATATATATATAAACTAGAGATGGGATATTCATATACGAATACAAATATCCTGGACCCAGGTGGTAGATCTCCACGTTTTGGCAATCTAGCTATAATACAAAGGCTAAATTGTATTTTAGTGTCTTAGTGGTTGATATTGCTGCTCTCTCTTTTTTTTTCCTGCTGATTACTTTGCTGTGGTTCTGACATAAATATTTATTCCTCTTAAAGGCTTACAGATATCTTAGAGAAGAAGTGAAAATCTTCCAAGGAAAACCAATTAAGGTAAGTATGTTATATTTTTGTGAGCATTAGTTCTAATATTTTGGGGCAGAATCTTCTGAGGACAATATGAAAACATAACTTTTTATCTTTTAGGCAAGAATAAAAGCAAAGGCTATAGCTATAAATACATTTTTGCCAAAGAATGGATACAGACCTCTGGACATGAATATCTACACACAACAGCGTTACACAACATCATTTTACTTACCTCCAGTCTACAGTCCCCAACAGCAGTTTCCCCTCTACAGCTTAATTGCCCCACAGACATGGTCAACAACACACAGCTATCTTGATCCATCACTGGTAAGCATGAGCCAATCACTTATTTGTTGACTGTGTGTTCATGTTGTTGCTTGGTTTTGAGTTATCACCCAGGCGTCTTCGATTAAACTGATAGCATTGCGATCCTGATGCACTTTCTATACCTGACATGCTCAATTTATTTTATATGTATTGGCTGACATCCTCTTGCAATTCTCCGTGGTTGTAAATGCTAATAATGCCATCAGCTTCTGTTGATCTAACCTTTAATTTAAAATTTCTTATTGCCTCCAACCTCCAGTATCTGAGTTTATTCGATGGGTGGCAGCAGTTTTCAGATATTAAAGACATGCACACATCCCATTCTGAGTCTCCCAAAGCCTTCCCCAAGTTGAAAAGAATCCTTAGGGAGACCCAAACATGGGGAGTGGGATAGGAAACTAAATTAAAAGATTATTGGCAATGGCTGGTGACATTAGTTGCATTTATTATCACGCAGCTCTGCCAACAGGATTCCAGCCTTTGGATGAGTTGTGGAGTGGAGTGAATAAAATGAGGGACTAGGATTCAGGAGATCTGAGTTCAAATCCCTGCTCAACTTTGGAAACTTACTGTAGAAATGAAACTGGTAATGCTACTCCTGAAATATCTCACTTACTATGAAACCCTGTTAGGGTTGCTGCAAGTTGGTTTCTGACTTGATGGCATTTAAAATGCAAATATGTATGTTCTTCATAGATAGATAGGGGGTTGAGAACAGTTTTTTTCCAGTTTAAGTATTCTGAATTCTGTTACAGTTCCTTCAGCCTAAATGGGAGTTTACGGTAACAATTATTGACCAAATTATTAAATTTTCTCTATAAACATATATTCTAAGAATGAATTATATCATGATAGCTCTTTAGAGTTTTAAAATACAGACAAGTGTGCCTCTTGTAGAATTTAATCAAAGGTTCACTCATTGTTTCTATTGTGCACATCAGACTATAAATAGTTATGTCCCAGTGCGAAGCTGGTACTTCACAGAAAAAGGCTATACCAGGCATCTCTCATCTGTTTATGTGCGTTTGAAGACCTATAGAAGTACAGTGGGGTCTTGACTTGAGAACTTAATCCGTATTGGAAGGCGGTTCTCAAGTCAAAAAGTCTGTAAGTCAAGTCTTCATTGACCTACAGTGCATTGAAAACCGATTAATCCTGTAACAGGCCGTTTTTGTTCCATTTTGGTTTTTTTCTGGTCTGTAAGTCAATTCTCAGGCTGCAAGTCAAACCTAAATTTTGCGGCCAGAGAAGTCTGTAAGTCAAGCCGTCTGTAAGTCAAGGGTCCACTGTAACACACTCATCTGCAGCTGGACAGTACAGTTCATAATTTTGCCCCTTCGCTAGGATGCCTCTTTGTTAGAACCTGTAGAACAATGCTGAATTTCTGTGTTTTTAAATCTATTTCTCACCTTCAGCCTCATCCCTGAAATGCTGTGTCACTTAGTCCATTAGCCTAAACCAAGTCGCACCCATTATTACTAGCAAAATGTTACAAATTGTATCCAAGTGGAAACAACAGCTAGATGAAAATCCCAAACATTCAATTGTAGTGCAGCCTGCAATATAGTCTTGTTGAGTAAAAACATCACTGTGACCTTATTTTCATAAACATCTTATTTCTGGGCCTTGTAAGGAGTGATTATTTTCCTTTACACTCTCTAGCATAGAATGGCAATAAGTATAAAAAGATACAGCAAGATACTGCTGATAAATAAGCATCCAAAAATTACAATAGGAGTCAAACATTAAGTCATGCCCAGGTCTAAGACGAAAGACAAAAAGATCAAGCTGAAAGATTAAAGTAATTAAATAATTAAAATAATATGATTGGTTTTGTATCTTTGTAGGTCTTAAGGTTACTGAGAGTCTTGAGACCAACAGCTATGTAATCCTCAATATTTTCTTCAATAGGTAACGCCATTTCCAAATACTGGATTTATCAATGGTTTTACTTCTCCCACTTTCAAGCCTACCGCTTCTCCGCTGACTTCACTCAGGCAGTATACTCCCAGAAACAGGCAAGTTCTAATTTGTTCATTTTGTCAACAGCTAAGTTGAATCTATAATTGAGGACATGGTTGAAATAGGGGTTTGGGGGGACAACGGCTATGCGTTACTTCAGTTAGATACTTCATTTGGATACGTTAACGTATTTTTAATTAGTTTGAGAACTGTGCAGGTTAATTACATTTCATGCAACAAACTTAAATTATTGGTCCAAGCTGTTGAAAGTTACAGTAGCAATTCAAAATATTAAGTCAAGAAATGTGTTGCCTTCAAATGGAAATCTGTATGGACAATTACACAAATAAAGGATTGAAGGGTTGTCCCTAGAATCATGTAGTTCTTCCTCAAAGCAAACCCAACGCTTTGATCTTGAGCACTGCCATGGCTGTCCAAAAAGATAATTAACCACAAATGTACAGAAGTAATGGAAAACTAAGGTTAACACAAGTTTGTTGCTAGGTACAGAGAAAACTGCTAACTCTAAAAGGCTCCGGAACATGTCCTTTACATGGTTCTAGAAATTTTGTTAAGATTTCATATAATAAAAGACATATGTTTTGTTTTTTATTTATTTTCCTACCCTTAGAAATCCTGGCAAATCGCATCTACGGCATACAATACCCAGTGCAGACAGAGGGGCTGGACTTTTAGAGAGCCCTACAATATTTAATTTTTCAGCCGATCGCTTAATCAATGGTGTCAGAAGCCCACAAACAAGGCAGCCTGGGCAAAACAGGACACGAATGCAAAATACTACAAGTTATACCAAGCGGGAAGTAGGTAGTGGACGAGTGGAACCTACTGCTTCGGACTCGTCCCCAAGCTTAGGTAGAGGAAGGTGAGTATTGGTTTTCAGTATTCATTAACTTCTGTAAAGAGGTGAGTTAAGTTCTTTGTTTTCATTGTCCTGAGATATGAGAAGGGAGGTGAAATAGTCGACAAAGAGCAAGAGCCAGTTAAATTGAAGCATTTTGTTTAAAGGTAGAGAGAAGAATGGTACTTCAGAAATAAGTTATAAAATGGACAAGCACAGGAGCTGAAAAAGATAGGCATAGAAGTAAAGTTTAGAATTGGCAAAAGTGGGGAAACCACTTTTTAAAGTTTATGTTTAAAAGAGAGTAAATAGCTAACTTAGTATAATAAAGAGTAAACAACTAACAATACATCGAATAAATTCCTGTTGCTTAATGCCAGCTTATGTGGCCTTGGTCAAGCTGCCCAGTTCCAGGGCACCGCCCATAAGAAAGGAATGGAAAACCACTTCCGAGTATTCTCTACCTAGAAAACCCTGGTGGTCCAGATCCACTGAATCAGTAGGGATTTGGTGAGTCAGCTCCCTAAATTCCATTGATTCAAAGTATGACGTCCACATTAAGCAACAGGATTTCAGCCACTATATAAAAAATACAGTTCCTTGTGGGGAAAAAGACAGCATATTTAAAAAAATTGCAACAAAACCGTTGTGGATTTAAAAACGTAGCTTTCATCAGTAGATAACTGGGTTTGTCAAATGATCATTTGACAAATATCTCAATGTGCTTGGAGGTTGTTCAATTCCTGCTTCGCATAAATAATAAATGGATGCCATATTGCTTAAGAAAAAAATCTGATTGGGAAGAATTCTGAAACCTGTATTAAATGGTTCGTGACAATTTGGAATATTTGCTGGATTTAAATCTTCCTGCAGAAATAATTAATTTTAGAAAGAAGAGTAGAGAGACAATGCATTTCAATGGGCTATTTTATTTCGCTTGACGGGGATTTTGCTCTACAGCGGATTATCCTCGTCAAGCGAGGCACCACTGTATGTCTCTTTTTAAAAGCTCATTTGATTATCCCAAAACAGGTTTCTGTGACTGAAACTATTTAAATACTCACAAGAGTGGGAATTCATATATTCTAATAGTGAAGTTGAAAGTTCTCTGTGGAAATGGATTGTTGTGCAACACTGCATGTCTATTGAGTTTATATAATTTTTTCTATATAGTCTTTTCTATCCTATAAAAGATCAAATGAAGTTGCTTTCTGTGAAAGAGATGGGTGCTTTTGTGTGTATAACCAGCAGAGGGGTAATTACAGCTGGCTTTGTTAATCATTGGCTCATCTGCAGATTAAACCAGCCTGCTTCTAATATTGCATTTCTAGCATCTTTTTTGAGAAGCACCCATAGTACCCTGCTGCTCATTTCAAATTCATCATTAGAATATATGAATGTTTTCCCTTTAGACTGTTGTGTGGAAACCTCTCTGGCAACTTGGCTTCAGCAGCTACTTGCGTGTGCCAAGACTGTTAGCCATTGACGCTTACAAAAGAAACCCAATCAGAATTTAAACACAGTGTTAATGTTGCCATGTGGTGGTATTGGAAATTAGGTAATAGGCAATTCCATTTTTAAGTCATCTAGAACCTTGATGCTTTAGAATGAGCCAGTTGCAGTCTTTATCATTTCAGGTGTGCTCAGAATTTTGTCCCATTTCCACATTAACTTTTCCACATTAATGTTTCATAATTAGCATGAAAATCCATATTTGGATAGTTATTTTTTCAATCTGTTTTCTCACAAAATGTGCTCTTCTAAATGGGCCTTTTCAATTAAATGTTGAACATTTTTTGTCACAGACTTTATCGCACAATTCGGAGAAATGTGAAATCTGAAGGATAATTATGTTCTGATACTTTCAATAGTATGTACAGATCAGCTTAGTTCAGTATTTGTAACTAAGCATTTGTAAAAGGTTCCCATCAACTGTGTTGTTGATGAAATACTGGCCCCTTCTTTCAGGGAAAGCTTTTTAACTTTTTGATTTTTTTTCATTGTTTACTGAGAGTGTAAATATAGAAGGGGACTAATTTTTTCCCTTAAAAATAGAAAATACACTTTTTTTGCAAATTGGTAGTAGATGGACTACTTACCGTATTTTTCGCTGGGGGGGGAGTGTCTGCGTTTTATGGAGCGAATACTGTAAAACAGCGCTCCCCAGTGCCCAGCGGTGGGAGCTGGGGCAAAATTGCAGCCTTCCAGGACCGTTCTGAGGCTTGGAAAGCCCGCGATTTCACCCCTGCTGGCCCCCTGGGAGGCACTCTCGGACCTTTCCGAGGCTCCCCCACGGGCCCAGCGGGCTGAAACAGAATATTTTTTTCCTGTTTTCCTCCCCTGGTGATTTCACCCCTGCTGGCCCCCTGGAAGGCACTCTTGGACCTTTCCGAGGCTCCCCCGCGGGCCCAGCGGGCTGAAATTGCCAGAATATTTTTTTCCTGTTTTCCTCCCCTAAAAATGAAGTCCGTCTTATAGAGAGGTGTGTCTTATGGACCGAAAAATACAGTATATTGAAAAGAATGTGAAATTATGAAGGCAGATTAGGAGGAAAAGAACTGTCCACTGCGAAAACCTCTTTAATATTTCACCAAACATTCATTTTGGTTTCTAAGCCTTCAGCACAGCTGATAGTACTGGAGATTTATAAGAGGGATTTTTAAAGGCTTTTTGACAAATTTTTATTTATGTGCTGCTTGGATAAAGCAAAAGTAGAGCAAAGTGGGCTGCTTATATACTGCCCCATAGTGATTAAAACACTCTCTGGGTGATTTGGAAATTTAATTATGCAGGCTACACATTGCCCATCCAGTAAGCCGGGTACTGAGTTTACCAACCACAGAAGGATGGCAGGTTGAGTCAACCTCAAGCCGGCTTCTTGAGCCCAGGATCAAATTCAGGTCATGAGCAGAGTCTTGACTGCAATACTGCAATTTAGCCACTGCGCCATGGGACTCCTATAGACATCACTTTTTGTGTGTGTTCATACTATACAAGAGCCTTCAGTTCAATGGAGATGTTCATTTGACCTTTCACCTTCTTTGTGTTGACATGCAGCTGTTTCTGAGTTTCATTCTAGTTGGTATGGCTGAAACTTAAATAATAGCTACTACAACAGCTGCTATAATCTATAAAACATTTGGATCCCACAGGCAGTATTGAATTTTGTCATTCTAATCAGTGGAATCTAGTGGTAAAAGCAGGAGTAATAGGTTTCATAAATTTTATAGACAAGTGCTGTAAAATTACTGCCTTAACCATTCACCCATGCTGTGGCATTACTCTGCTCCTCATCATTCTTGCATGCCAATACAGAACGTAACCTACAAGAACAGATTTCTTGTAGCACCTTAAGGAGACTTCCAGTTCTTGTTTAGCACCGGCTATCATGGACCACAGCCCACATTATCAGATGGATGTGGACTGCAATCCCCCAAAGTTTGTTCCAGATGAAACATGTTAGCCTTTATGGTGCCATAACAGTATTCATTTGTCCTGCATAAGACCAAAACAGCTGCCCTATGGAAGTGCGCCTTTGTTATGAAGGAATACCATGGCAAACCCACATGAGCTGAATTGAGTGCTGCCGGGTGACCAGCAGTAATGGGAAGTGTCTATAAGCAGCTCAGCATTTACTCGACTTACAGCATATACTCAACCTGGAAAACCTGTACCTCTCACTTGAAAATGTTTGCCAGAGACTCTAAACTCCCAGTACTGTGAAGGAAACAATACAGTGGTGCCTCGCTAGACGATGATAATACGTTCCACTGAAATTGCTGTTTAGCGAAATCATTGTCTAGCGAAAAGCAAATAGTACTCTAGTGAAAATTGGTTTGCGAAACAGGGACCAAACATTGTCCAGTGAAATTCCCCCATAGGAATCACTGTTTTGCGAATCGCTATAGTGATTGCAAAAAGTCAATGTCTAGCGAAAAAACTGTCATGCGGGGTAACTGTCTAGCAAAGCACCACTGTATTGTGGCCTAGTCAAGCTGATCTTGCTGTCTGAATCATTTGACTAGATGCAAAACTATGCCAAGACATGGAAGGTACTATTAAAGAGGCTGCTATGGGACTCACAGGGAAAGAGTTGTATTTATAAGCATTTTCCACTGTAGAGATAAAATGTATCTGCACAGACACCCTCCAAAATAGGGAAGCTCTTAAGGAAAAGAGTAGCCCTCCAAGAGCGACAGCCAAATTAGGCCAAATTTCTCCCAAGATTTTTTGCTTGATATATTTTTTTCCTACACCCCTGGAAATAATAAGAGCATTTTGCTACATTATTTTCAAGCATTTTCCATTATATAGGTATTTGGTATTTGGTATTTGCTAAATGGTTACTTGACCTGGCTTAACCTACTGTGATTCCAGCACCAGACTAGCTCTCTCAATAACACACTATTAAGAGTAAGTTTCTAGTGACTGTTTTCCTTTCTGCAGAAAAAACTCATATGGCTATCGGAAGAAGAGAGAAGATAAGTTTACGGTGAGTATGCGATGTCTAGTTCTTCATGGACAAGTCACTTATTATCAATGACAATAAAACATGGAATCTTTGACATAATATAGCTACTAAATTTAAAAAAACAACAATACTATTCTACTCTGTTTCCCCCAAAATAAGACAGGGTCTTATTTTTGCTCCCAAAAATGCATTAAGTCTTATTTTCAGGGGATGTCTTATTTTTTTTCGTATACTACAATCCACAAATACAGTCATGTCATCTTCTGGTTGCTGCACAAGGATGGAGGGTGGGGTTTCACTTAACTGGGGCTTATTTTGGGGGTAGGGTTTATATTACAAGCATCCTGAAAAATCATACTAGGGCTTATTTTCAGTTTAGGTCTTCTTTTTGAGGAAACAGTAAATTGTCAAAACACCATAGTCAAACCAAAGTTAGTGAAAAAACAAGGTTTACTGAAATGGAACATACTCCCTCCTGTCTGCTTCGTTGCACCTATCAACATTTAAGAGGCTGTAACTCTGTTGTCTCAGGCAGAAATGAATCTCCTTTTTAGAAAGAGGAGATCCTAGATGGCAAGTGAGCTGTAGCCACCTTGTGTCCTTGTTAAGGAGAATCATAGAATTGTCGTAGGGTTGGAATGGACCTTGTAGGTCTTCTAGTCCAACCATCTGCCCAAGGTAGGAGACTTCATACCACCCCAGACAGATGGCTGTCCAGTCTTTTCTTGAAAACCTCCAGCGATGGGGCACCCACAGCATCAGGAGGCAAGCTGTTCCACTGCTTAATGGTTCCCGCCATCAGGAAATTCCTCTTTGTTTCCAGGTTGGGTCTCCCTGTGACGAGTTTCCACCCATTGGTTCTTGTCCTACCCTCAGGCGCAATGGAGAATAAATTGATGCCCTCTTCCCTGTGGCAACCCTTCAGAGATCGGAAGACTGCTATCATGTCTCCCCTCAGTCTTCTCTTCGTTAAGCTAAACATACCTAGTTCTTTTAGTTATCTTCATAGGATTTAGCCTCCAGTCCCCTTATCACCTTTGTTGCTCTGTCTGTCTAAAAAATGTGGCAAGCAGGCAGATCAGCTGACCATCTGCAACTTTGTAGCTTCAAGAGCATATGGGGTATCTCTTCTTCCCATTTCCCCTCACATACTGTATTTTGCCTGTTGAGTTCTTTCACTTTTTTCTTCCCAGGTAACTGTTCTTATTGTCAGGCTTTCCCCCCTCCTTCTAACATGCCACATCATGTTGCCTGTCCCCACAAACCCAAAATATACCACGTTTTGCTTTTATATGAACTGTAAGAGGTACCTGGTGCATTTGTATTGTGTCTCTGTAGCTGCATTTAGTAAAACTTAATGACGTCCCTCCCCCTCCCCCCCCCCCCCCAAGGGAGTTTAAACTTTG